TATAAAATAGCTGCAAGGGCTATAGTATGCAATGTATGCGCTGGCTATATACATCCACTGGCTATATACATCCATGAGATTGTCCATATCCTCTTGTATATGGAAGTATCCGAGAAGATTCAGAATTGAATAGCGTGCATTTATGAATATCAGTCTATGAGAAACTATGCATGTTATTTTTTTTGCTATTGGTGATTGTCTCGTATTGAATGAAGCAATTCAACATCAAGGTTAAGTCTTCCCTTAGGGAACAATTACGCGTAACCTCAAGTCTCGTCCAAGCTTTTGATTGCTGTCATCGTATTTACTAATGGCCCTTTCAAAGAATAAACTCGACCTGATTCAGTACTTGACCCTGTAAAATGCACGCAAACTGATAAACTTGATCCTACCAGCGGCGAACATTAAATGATTTGAAAAGGTCTTTCTAGCACATAGTTCTTTCTACAGGTTAATTGATATATTGACCTGCGAAAACCTCAACATATAGATATGCTATGTACGCGTATATACAGCTGCATGACCACGCCCTTTCGGTACCGGGGATAGAATGAAGACATTTAATCCGTCAAAGAAAGCACAAATGTCAAACGTTAACAGTCCAAGAGATACCAATTAGAGACTACTAATGCCCTTACCCTATCTAGATGGGGTTAGTTACTTTCAATTGACTCTATTTATAAACATCATATAATTTGGAGTTTATTGCGAGTTTATGTTTGTTTTTACCATTATCCGCAGTTCTTGTGGATAATACAATTCTGGTAGAAACTGTACGAAAAATAGGATTTGAGTTTTATATGAATCAGGATGGATAGCTAAATACATGGATGGCTTTAAAAAGTATTAAATAGATTAATGAGTTTCTTCAAGGTAGTCAGCTGACTGTGGCAGTTCAATTTAATTATCATATTAATTCGTGTTCATGTATAGCCATGAGTCAAAGATCTTTTGTTTTTGTCAGTTGTAAATTATTATTTCGTGGGGAGTAAAACTTATCTATTAGCAGTTTGACGCCTGTATTTCTAAAGACACTGTACATACTTACAACTCACTAAAGCTTTACCTAGCAGGGGAAAACAATTCATGCTTTGTAATTTAAATCATCTTCCGCTTTCGAAAAGTTTGTAAGCACCCACATTCTCAAGCTCGTCGTAATCTTTAGAATCTCTACTAGATAGGGTATTAACCACGGCATCACCCCTGTGAAGATGTACCAATTCCAGCAAAACTTATTCAATGTACAATGAACAGATAACCCTCGGTCAGTATTTCTTGTTAAACTAACGTTGAAATCTCTGAACTCGGCTTTTATTTTAAGAGAGGAACTGATTTGAAAGAGAAGTCCTTTATCTATTGTAGCTCGCGCTAAAAAAGTACACCAAAAAACACGAATGTGAGAATTTCTTCAAACGAAAGTTTTACAAAATTAGATATATGCTCTTTTTCAAACCACTTATGAAGAGCGAACATTTCACTGGAATTTCACCTGCTTTCGTATCACTGACAACCAAAAAGACATGAAATCATACGAACCAGCAGTACAATGATATAAAGAGAGAACGTTTTCTCTGTGTTTTTCGTATTTTAGTAATGTTTTGAAAAAATCAGAGGTAATATCCCATTTTCCACTTTAATTTCATCTTGTTTGCATTTGTATTTTCATTTTGCGTAAATCCCTGTGTATTATAAATAGGACTTTTATGATTATTGATGGATTTTTTTTCATCGTAAAATCTACGGTAAAGATTTTCTCTAGTGCATTTAACGTAAAATAATTCTGTGTAACAACTTTACTGGTTCTAAAACAGTTCTAAACTGAATTATAAGTTATCCTTATTTCCATTGATGTTGAAATTTTAAGAAATCAAACGAAAAATAGGCGATGAAAGTAAAATATTGAGACTCACCAGCCATTTTGATGGTTCTTCCGCTAGTTGGTGCAGTGTATTGAGTTAATCGAGAATTCAGCTTTCTTATGGTGATTCCTACATTCAATAGGACGAACAATCAATGTTAGTAGCGCGCCGTTTTCTGCAAACCAGATGCCCAGCGCGCGTCAAGCTCAAATGAAATAATTCTATTGAAGTGGAATCTTAGTCGTCCATTTCGGTGTTTTTATGAAATAATTGTTTTAAATTCAACCAACATTTCAAAACGAGGATATTAAAAATCTTTTATTATTTCATGCGAAGCAGTCGGTAGGTTGATGTTTTGAAGATCTGTTTGTTTTGCTGTACATCATTCTTTTATTGCTCTCTAATCACGCTTACTTATAATATACTTGTTGTTTACCTTKGTGAAAAAAATAGAAAAACAACTGCAGTGTTTTTATATCTAGCGCCTTGAACTGAGAGTTTTAAAGAACTCTCTACTCTCGTGCATTCATTAAGCATTCAACTTCTACTGTTCATAAATTAATCACGAATTTATAGATTTATGATTCATTGAATTGATCAAGGGTTTTTAAAATCTATACTTGACTTGTGAATTATAGTCGAATTGAAGGTTTAGTAGACTCAACTATTTAGTGAGGCCAATAGCCACACGTATGTAAGTCTTGTCGCCCTTATTACAAATCCACGCGCTACCTACAAATAGACCATGGGCTTGTTTTTATCACGAGTAACTGGGGGAAAAATCCACCTAACAAGGGCTCTTGCATATATGTGTTATGGGCGAAATCAGACTGTTTTTAACTGAGGTTACTCCGATACCAATGCGTTTTTAATGATCTCCGTCCTCAAAGGAATATATTATAATGAAAAAGATAGTGTCTCAGATTTTCCCGTCAAAATAAAATCTATAAACTGACAAACGCCATTAGTGTTAATATTAGTTAAATTCGTTGCTATCCCAGAAGATTCCTTGTCTTTGTGTGCGCATCTCGTTTGCGCGTGCGCATAATCCTCTTTAATGAAATTCAACTATGTGTTTATGGTACTTTATATTTGTTTTTTCACTGTTGATTCACGTTTAAAGTGACTAGATTATTATTCTACGAGGARCTGATGCCCATTTGGCGTTGAAGCCAAACAGTTAGAATGGTCAGAAACTTTGTAATATTAGTAATATCCAAGAAAGATGAGCCTTCAAATTCACCACCATAGGAAGATCAAATTTTGTTTTTGTCAGTCTTACTAGTCCTGTGCAGCAGGTTTTATCGACTTTTCCTCGATAAATGAACAACATCAAGAGAAGCATTTCTTACTACTTTTTAACCGTCAAATAATAAAAGATATGTCGATATTGATGGACATTTCAAATATACTAGAACAATAAGGCGTCTAAATTAAGGTATCAGCGTTATTTGCCCTGGTGTTTATGTCTGGAATTCAGTCCTAGTTTTCGCTTAAGGCGTATTTGTAATCTAGAAACACTGAGTTGTTGACAAAAATAGTGTAAAACTATTAACAAAAACAGTATTAATCTCCATGGGTTTCTTAAACACCTGTTCGCGTTAAACACTCTCTATGTTTCATCCTGAAAACAACGCTTAAAGCTAATAGGTCACAAATGAAAAATCAAAATATTCAGCCAGTAATGACATTAGCGATTTCTATTTTATGTAACTCCAAGCACTATCATGGAAGAAACTATTTCATACTATTTTAAAAATACCTTTCTGTATAACACTGCATTGATAAAATAGAGAAATACTGTTAAAAACTGTTAACAATGGAAGTTATTCAAGAAAATTAAAGCTATCGCAAAAGCTGTGTTTTTTGACTACCTGCACGTTAATACTTCATAGAAAGGCTATCATCGATTGCCAATACGTTTGTGTAAGTCTTAATAAGCTAATAATATAGTCCTCTGAGGACGGAGATCAATAAAAACGTATTGGTATCAGATTAACCTCAGTTAAAGACAGTCTGATTTCGCCCACAACACATATATAGGACTTAAAAGTCTTAAAATTGACTATCAACTCCATAACTCTGCATGGGTATTGCAAACTCTCCCTTTTGGGTATACGTATAGTGTTCAATCACAGACTCAAAGAACATATTGCATTGTTATCAAAGGCAAGAAAGATTAGTCAACAAAGCATCGCGGGACTACGCATCAGTTTAAAGAACGTTTTGAGAACACTATTTGTGTATTAAGGTGGGTGTCAAACCGGGTGTTTAGTTCAGTGTTTATGGCAATAGTTCGTTATTAAGTTGTATTAAGCATATTTATAATAAGTTAAACTTGATTCACTAGTATACATTACCTAGTTATCAACTTGCCCAAAAGTTCCTCAAAGTTACTGCGAATAGCTTCTGTCAGACTGGCGGGTCGTATTTTAACACAATGCTTAGAAAGTTATCACAAATTTGAATCTTTTTGTCCTGTGCGTCTTGATTATCATTGGATACTGCACTGAGATGCCGCCACAGTGCCAGTTAATATTTCATGTATCTAAAGGACGCGTATATGGATATCTTTTATGTACAAATGACTTATTAAACTGTTATATTCATATCCACYTTTGTGCAGTTTGCATCAGCCAATTTGGCAGCATCGGTTAGCTTATAATTGGTGTATAACGAGAATCGTACTGACTAACACCCCCTGGAACGTATTAACACTTTGACCAACGAAAATCAAGAACTGTTTATTTGCTTCGTTAAAACTCTTTGAAAACTAACTTGAATTGGTGATCACTGTGGTATTGGCGACAGATGAAAGTGCGCCGAATTCGATCGCCATTGGACGCAAATCAACAATCCTTTATTTTCCATGATACTAAACAATTTATTTTCTCACATTTAGTGATTTAGTGACTATAAAAGAACTGAACCGTCTTTTTTTCAGTATAATAAGCAGTTACACCTGCTTCCGATCACCTAAAGACAACACACGAAACGCTAAATATTTGGGTTTCCTTTGCAGAGTGTAATCTTTAGGATGTTTCTAGCATACATGTTGGTTTTGAGCTGCTGAAACTCTCTTGAGTACTCTCTGGAATCCTAAAATTATAGTCATTCCAGTTTCAGCTTGTAATCATTTAGTCAGGGTGAGCGCTTCACTGGCGGTGGCGGTGGAGGTGGCGGTGGCGGCATTGACTTCGATTCCTGCCCTTGTAGTCTTTGTGGTGACGAAATCTCATTGGCGAGAGGCGCCTTCGGTAGTTTATTCCCTGGGGGAGGAGGTGGTGGTGGTGGTGGGGGTGGGGGCGGCCTTCTACAAGGTGGTGCTGCAGGTGGTGGGGGTGGGGGAGGCCTACCAGAAGGAGGCGTTGGTGCAGGAGTTGACCTTACTGGAGGTGACGACTTATGTTGCAATTCAATTTCCTTTGAGGATTTGCCTCTTTCTGACGAACTTGGACCTTTTGAAGAAGTGCTGGAGTCGCTTTCCTCATCAGTATAGGATGAGCAACTGTAGCTTTCGTAAGAACAATCACTGCATGATTGGGACAGGCCTTCGGGATTGTTGTTCTTTATTTTTTTGGGACCAAATGCTTTTCCAAACTTAGATTTAATAGTCTTAAACAGACCCCTTTTCTTTTTTCTTTTTTTGACCAATTTTAAGCTACTTGGCGCCGAACATGTGGAGATGCGATCGCATTTTTGTGATATAGGCTCTACAGACTCTAACTCCTTATTAGTACATTTTCCCATCAAGCAAAACATGCCACATCTATCGCTGTAGAAGCGTCCATTTTCACCAGTGAAGACTGCGGTATGAATGTCCGGTTCACCTACAGCTGGTAACTTGTCAGACCACTCTTTCAGCTCACTGGGTGGGCAACTAGTCCAGCGAACGAATTTACAGATATTTTTATCCTTTGGTGTCTTCTTTAACGGAATAGTGATCTCGATTGGATTCTCAAAATGTTTACTACCGGATGAAATTGCTATCAGATCGCTCAATGCACTCTCTGTGTCAGTCAATGCGACTATATAGTCACTGGTATTCTCGCAGATCAATATGGTGATGGTCTGGGGTTGTCTGTCTGTTTCAGGCATCTTTACATGTATATCACGTGCAACAATCTCGCCACCACATGATGTGAAAGTCGTAGACATTATCTCTTTGAAATCTTTAAACACCTCTTTTGCACTGTTTTGATGTTGAATTGGCTCATCTCGGATGGCAGTGTTATTTTGAGCTTGTTGTTCAGCGGCTTGTTGCAATTCCTCTTTTTGTTTTTCTCGTTCCATCTCTTGGTGTCGTCTTTTGCGCTCTTCAAACAGTATCCTTGCTTTGTATCCACGGTATCGTGTTTGAATAGCTACTGCATACTTTGAAAGAACGGCTGTACGATGATCTTCAAGTTGGGAGATCATTTGCTGGTCCTTAAGAAACAGTTTTGTTTTGCCAACTTGGTATCTCTTCATGTCTAAATTGGCGGCTTCTAAAATGACTTTACATGCCTTAACCTTGTCTTCTCCACAGTTATTTACCATCACGGGAGCAAGAACTTGGTATCTTTGCACAATACGGTCGAATTCTCGCCTAAAAGCAAAACCTGCGCGACGGACCTTGATGTTTTCCACGAGTCCTAGGTAATGAACCTGATGGAGAACCTTTTTGTCATCCCAATCTAACGGAGTCTTGGACTCTGATGACTTCACACACCTAATGTAATGTGGAGTGCATTTGCGGATCTTCTCGACCAGGGCGATGGCTTGTGTCCTTATTTTAGCACTACCAGTATTTGATTTGGCTTTCCTACCAGTCGTCTCACCTGTTCCAGGGACGTCAGGGAAGAGGGCGGAAATAAACTCGTTATTGCTAGACTTAATCAAACGAATCAAATCGTTTGAAATGGAATCTTTATTTTTTTCACAAAATTCTGAAGCTTCGTATGTCACCTTTCCAGCATAGTGTGTTATTGAGAAGTGCTTGGACTGTGCTTGAAAAAACCTTGCAAATCTGTTGCTTGAACTGATTGCTCCTCTCAGCTTATCCATCAGCGTATTTGCTGAGCCTTCAGACACTGCATGCATTGTGCTACAAACATCATCCAATACACTCATGATACCAGGAGGTCTTCGACTTTCAATAAGTTCACATACAACATCATTGTTAAAGTATTTGATTGAAGACCAAGATATTCCTTCTTCGGCATACTCTTCCTGTTCTGTTTTCAGCGTAAAATCAATAAAAAGATTCTGAAGTTTTTCATTGACATAATTTATTGAAAATTGTTCAAACCCATTTTTCTGGAAGCATTCAAAGCCATAGATATCAAGCACTCCAATGTACAAACTCTGTCCAGTTTTTGCCATTGTGTTGTTTACCGCTTCTACAAGGTACTCAAAAGTTTGAAAGAATAGGGACTTTGATAGCGAATCGCGAGCGGCACATGCCTGATCTCTGTTAAAGGTTTTCTTTGTTATTTCTACTTGACCTCCCCAACGTGACTCCATATCATAACTTGTAATTTTTTCTTTCAAAATAGTTTTGTCCACCTCCAGTAGGAAAGCAGGCTTTTCCAGAAGTTCATCGTCTACAGGCACTGCAACGTTGTCTTCTTCTTTAAAAGTAATGTTACCGAGATGAAGTATAGCAGCAACCACTTTAAGCACAGAGTTCATATTGTAGGTCGTTATTCCTATAGCTTTCATTGCATTCATTGTGATGGCAAAATCACTAGCGTCATCCGTTCCTTTTATAGTGTACACACCAGTTGTATTAAGGTAGCGAAACTTGTCTGGTGTCTCTAGACCAAGCGAAAGTTCCTCCAGTTCTTCTGGTGTCAAGCCAGTAAGTAGCTGATAAAATATATGGAAATTACGCTCTTCTTCCTCAAGTGATACGACTCTAGATTTCTCTAATAAAAAAGTAGATATTTTCCCTCCATCAGGTTGACCTTTTTCATTGTACTGTATTTCCATAAACTTTCCAAATCTGCTTGAATTGTTGTTCATGACAGTCTTTGCGTTACCAAATGCTTCTAGAAGTGGGTTCGATTGTAGGATGGTATCCTTGACATGTTCTACTTTTGTCGATCCTTCTTCAGATACTTTAGCCAGAAAGTTCATGACATGCTTGGCTGAAACAGTCTTTCCTGCACCGCTCTCTCCACTTATAATAACACACTGGTTGTCTCCCTCTATCATCATGTTGACTAGCATATTGTTGGCTACTTCATATATATGAGGTGGCTTGGGTCCCTTAAAGTTCTTGAATTTCCCGTTTTCATTTCCACTAATTGAGCTTAATCCTGTTAACCGCGCCGTGGAACACCTTGAGGCTCTGTCACGCCTCGAAGGAATCATGATTTTTTCAGGATTCGAAGATACAGCAGAAGTGCCCAGTTTTTTCCCAGAATACAATTCAATAGCATCCTTGTCATACATGTGGATTTGTTTGAACGGGTTCACAGAGATCAGCACACGACCAATGTTAGTATAAATGTTTTCGTCTTTTAAACGTCGATGTAAGTTTTCGGCAATGGCTTTATCAGTGACTTCACTGATTTCAATCATATCGCTAAATGTTGCCATTTTGCCTTGTGGATGCTAGATGTGCATTACATATTCACACAAATTCCGTCCTGTTTCTTTTGATCCAAAGGTACAGGCAAAAGACTAGTTGTTTGTTCAGTGCATTGTGACGTCATAATTATCTACACAGGAAACCCACTATATTTATGAAACACTCCCGGGCGATCCCCGGGCGCAGGATAGTAAAGGATCAAAGTCTGACAGTTTTTATTATACGTACATACTTCAAGAATATATTTTGTAAATAAAAAAAACATACGATGCACTCCCGTAGTCCATAAAGTCCAGTCGAGTATTTTATAAAGGTTCGCAAAGGATTGTCGGTAATAGCAAAGTCGTTCCCAGTCTTCCTCTACTTGCGGTTGAGTCATTCGTGAGTCATAAGACTTGTATTATGATTTAGCAGGTTGAAGGAAACATCTATAATTCTGCCGATTTCTTCAGCCGTTCTTCCTTTTAAACTAAAAGACTAAGATGGCTGAGCGTCTTAAACACAAGTCTAAGATACACGAACGGCTGAATAATCCAGAACTTCGCTGCAAAACAGGGTAAGTTGCAAATGAAAAATTGACATCCAATTAACTTCATGAATTTCCTAATATAAATCTGCCTGTTTTCCCTTTTTTCTTAATAGAAGTGTACATTGCTACATGTATTTTTGTGTTAACTATACACCTTTTTAGTCTCAAAATGCAATTTGTTGTATTGCTATAAACTCGGTTTGAAACTTGCAAAGGTGTGATTGTTATTATTTGATTACGATTATGTAATATTTCTAAGATTTAAATGTTGTATGTTTGTAGCCATATTATTTACTTTTCGTGCACTGTTATGTACAGAAATTTAATTAAACTCCTCACATGCATGCAATATAGTGTGACATTTGATTTGTTAAATTAATAACAACACGACAATAATCAAATATTATAATATTGTAATATGCACCAAACCTCATGCGCTGTGCAATTTATTTTTTGTTCTCAAAAGGTAGCACAATAAAACTTAAGTGAAGTGAAGTGAAGTGACATGATTTCTGTCCAAAATAATTATTGATAACTGATATTTTTATTACTCTATCGAAATTAATGTGATAAATGATTATTACTTGAAATATTTCTGTTCTTGAAAATACCAAACAACAGTATAAACCTCATTCTTATTGATTTTGTAGGTGTGGTTTCTATGGTAACCCAGCATGGCAAGGTTACTGTTCAGTGTGTTTTCGAGAAGTTTACTTAAAGCAGCACAAGACACGAGATGCTCAAATGCGCAGTGCAAAACTTCTAAAAGGTAAGAATAAGAAACCAGTGGTGGAGGAAAAAAAAAACATAAACAGGCTAAAGAAACGCAAGACAATCACTGTTGCTTCTGCTCCTTGAGTGATAGAAAATGTTCTAATCATGATTTTTCAGATCAGCAAGATCAAGCAGAGAAATTACAATTTAATAAATTTGAAGAAAAGAAAAAGTTCAAGACTGAGTCCAAAAAGTAAGTATCAAGACAGCAAAGGATTGTTGTAGCGGTATCACTTCTTCTTTATGTCATTCTGTTTTTATTGTCATTTTTACAGAGAAAGTGTCAAAAACCTCTTCAAGAAGAAACCCTTACAAGTTGAAGGCACTTCTAGGCCAAGCCCGTCCTCAACAAGTAATAAGAAACCATCCGATTTTAAAGAATTCCTGAAAACACTGAGAAGACCAGCAGCTCATGATGTCAGTGAGCAGTGTAAATCGTAAGGATGCTTTCTACTCACCTTCAGTAATCATTAGATGTCCTGTAATACATATTATACTTTTTTAATAATACTTCTGTCAACTTTTACTTATTTCAGATTTGTACAACAAGTGTATGATAATAAAACCTTATCTGTTAGCCAACAAAGTGAAATGGTGCAAGACTTTTATGGAGTAAGACTACCAATGCTACAGCGTCTTTATTCCTTGTTTCATGAATATCATGTCATTCTTCTAATTTTCCTCTCTCTGCATTCCCTCTTCAACTCCAGCAAGAGACAATATGTTTATATAATACTGACATACTTTTATGTTTTAAAGGCAATGGCAGATAGATTAGAATCACATCTTATATTTAAAGATCAACCACAAGAAGTACTTGACAGTACACTAAGCAATATTGAGAAATACATCATGACTAGGTTGTATAAAATGTAAGTAACATTATCTTACTATCCCTGCTCCCTCCTCTCTCAGTCAGTCTTTAACTCCCTGTCATTCACTTCCCATTTATTACTTTATTTTCCCTATCTGTTCATCTTCAGGTCACTCAATGACTTCAATTTCTTTCATTACTGTCCTTTGTCAGTCATCCATGAATTTCTTCTCTACTGCTGTAACAGCAGTAACCAGCGATCTTACATGTATCTAACAAGTTGATTTTATAAGTCATATCTTGATTGCAGTGTATTTTGTCCTGCGACCACCGATGATGAAGAAAAGGATTTAGAATTACAAAAGAAGATCCGTAGCTTTCACTGGATCAAACCGCAACATCTTGATGCTGAAATAGATGAGACTAATGACGAAGTTGTTAAACTATTGGAAGACGCACAACATGATCTTGTAGAGATCAACACTAAGAGAGCACCTCAGGATAAACTTAACTGTGTTGTGAGATGCTGTAAAAAAATCTTTAGTATCCTTTTTAACAAAAACTATTTACAGTTCTTGGATCAAGGGTTATCACTTTGAGATAATAGAGAATCATTAATTGAACAACAGCTTCAAACATTGCAAAACATACAAGAATGTAAAGTAAATGATGAACGATTTCATCTGGAGAACAAAACAAACATCTTTGGCCCTCTTGGGAGCTAAAGGACATTTTTTTGCTCTTAGTTGAAGGCGCGTTACCATGAACTGTAAGGGCTCTGTAAAATCAAACAAGCTGTTAATTTTGTGATATGACATGTCTTTTTTGTTGGGGTAAGAATATTAATCCTTGACAGTTGTTTTTAGAAATCATTCATTTATCAACCCCTAGTGGTGGAGCCGTCAGTGCAGATGACTTCCTCCCTTGTTTAATATACATAGTACTCAATGCAAACCCCACCATGTTACATTCTAATGTCCAGTAAGTGTATATTGTCAGTATTGTAACCTCATATTCATATTTAATTTTAACAAAATTTATTCCAGTATTGAAGTATTGGTGTCCAGTAATACATGTATTGGTTGTATTCCAGGTACATTTCCAGGTTTTGTAATCCAAACAAGCTAATGACAGGTGAAGCTGGTTATTACTTTACAAATCTGGTAAGTAATGTTGGTAATTCACCAGGCTTTATTATGTGAACATTTTGATTTATAATTTGTACGTTGCTAATTGTTACTTTTTCTTTACAGTGTTGTGTAGTCACATTTATCAATAAGCTTGATGCCCAGGCTTTATCCATGACACAAAGTGATTTTAACAGGTATTAAAATAACAAATAAATCCTTTATTATATCTACTAATGTTGTATAATTGTACTTTTTATTACAGATATATGTACGGAGATGAAAATGGGCCTGTTAGTGAAGATACAACTGACAAAGGTGATCCAGAGCCTCCTGTAACTTGTAAAGGACTGGAACTCATGAAGGTACATGCATAACATATAATTCCTCGTGTGTTTTACAATACTCTTTACTTTTTTTAAAACATCAACCAAGTTCTGTTCAAATTTGTTTATCAATTTCATCAATTTTTGTTGTCCATTTGAAAGGAAAACCTGGAACTACTTGCAAAATTGCGTGAAAGACAAAACAGACTAAAGCATGATGCTTTAGAACTTCATGACCAGATAACAGAGTACAGAGTTAACATTGTAAAAGAGGTTAGTGCATCTAAGTCTCTCTGTTCAAACTGAACTGCATGCATTGTTTTTTTGTTTGTTTGTTTGTTTGTTTGTTTTTTCAATGTCATCATGTGTGTTTTGGCGATGTGCGAAGTGGAAGGTCCATTGAAACATTGATGTTCCTCAAAATGCTTTGCATTGATTTTTTCTAAATTGATTGATTCTATCGGTTTAGGTGGATGCCATTTTAGCAGGCACAAGTGATGGCAATACATATCTAAAGACACCAACACCAACTGAAATACAGCAAGCTAGTACAAGTGGCTTACCAAGCATAGAGACCGCTACGTCATAGTATAGACCAAAAATTAGGATATTATTACAATGAATGTGGTGCAAGAAGGGATGAATAACATAAAGAACACAAGAATCGGGTCTTAGCTACGCATTACATATACATGTTTGACTGAGCTTTATTTGAGCGCAACTGAAACAATGGGCAAGAAATTCCACAGGACCGACATGATTCTCTTTGAGTTCCACAGTGAGAAAGCTGATGTATTCAGTACCAGGAGATGATGTGTTCACCTTAGCATTCGTTGACGTCTATCTTGCTCCTCTTTTCGTTTCTTTTTTCTTTCTTATCCGATTGTTCATTTTCTTGATTCCAAAAGAACAACTTACAATTCGTTCCAAGAACAGCTGAAGGCGAATATTTAAATGAAATTATGACCGTAACTACTATGGATAAATTTTGGAATGGCAATTTGGTCGCTGTTTTAATAAACGTGATTGTGCGCACATTTCGAAATTTCGATGGTTTTTCTTCACTCACTTATGTCACCCTCTCCATGGCAACCATGATGGGAGAAACCTTTGCGCCTGAAGAAACATATAAAGAAATGCTTTAAAAGAATATCTCTTTTTTTGGAGAATGAAAAAATTCGTTTATGACGATAAAATACTGTAGACAAATACTGCTAAAAAGATCATTTTTAAGTAACAAAATAAAAGATTTTAACAAGTTAGACATTATTTAAAATATAATGTAAAATTATTTGCTATAATAAAAATTATACCATTTAGGTACAGATGAATAACGGATTATATGTTGTTACAAATCTCTGCTTTTTTCTGCATTTAGTGATACTTTGACGCTGTGAACACGAAGACTCTCAAATGGTGACGCCCACGCTAATCGTTCATGAATTGCGCAAAGTGAGAGAGATGTACAAAGGTTACAATTTATAACCCTGATGTACTCATATTCTCAATATTGTTTTCACAAGCTCGTTTTCTGATATGATATATCTCAGAATAATATGCTTTATAAAAAATCCTTTGCAAAGGGCTTGGTAATACAAGCCGTAATTGTTCAGGGCGTGGTATGATGTGATCACCCCATGTTCGTCTGTTGAACACGTTGATACATTTTTATAATCCGTCTCGTCAAGTAAACGTGTTTTATTACAGTCTGAACTGCGATGTCTAGTGTCACGAAAACTGCGTGACTTTTCCACTCTGTACGTGACATGGTTTGAGAGCTACGTGACGGGGTCTGCGATGCTGTCGATGAATAAATCACGATTTTTGATTCGTTGTAAGTCAGTAAAGAAAAAGATGTTTTTTCATTCGTAAATTATAGAAAGAGGACGGGAGAAGGGGTGTATTAAGTCACCACGTGCACACGTGACTTGTGTCAAATGAACGTTGTGAGCTAATGTAGCGTGATGGGATATTTTTGACAGCCCCAAAGTCTAATCTTTTATCTCCATATCAATGGTATTGTTCCGCAACACGGTAAACACGTATAACGCTTGAAAAAAGCAAAACAAAGGATTTGAACGGCTTTTAGAAGCTCATTTATCAGTGTTAAAACATACGAAAAAGGTTTTTGATGAGTAAATGCTCAGGAAACCATGAATTTGTAACTCATTTCCGGTCGTCAAGTGAAAACTAGGTGTTCAGTGATTGGTTATTTTGACAATGGTATTGTATTGTAAGGTTTTTGATTGGTTGATAATGATATTGCTACAGGTGGTATTGATTGGTTCGACGTGAAATGACATGCAAATGGCGTCAGCTGGATAGGGGTTCGTGCTGTATTTCTCGATCTACTACTACACGATTTTAACCTAGAATAGGTTGATGTCTTTCACTGTATTCAATCTCAGTTGACGTTAAAGGGTTCTAGGATATTCAATCTTCAAGGCCAATGCTTTAACTAAGGAATGGCGGCTTTTTCTGAAGCCTCGGAAGTCAGCAAACAGGAGAAGGAGTTCCCTTGTGCGCCTCCACCGAGCCCTATTACGAATTCTCGTCGAAATTTCGACCTCTCCGTTTCTCCTTTGTCTTCTTCACCTGAAGAAAGCTTCAAGGACGACGTAGACATGAGTGACTCTCTTATTGTGGCATTATCTAGGATGAATGTAGAACAATCTTCTTTGAAAAGGAAAAAACGTTCTGAACAAGAATTTTCGTCTGGGTACGAAGGCGATTCAGTAGGTCAAGAACAGAAGAAAGCACGAAGGAGGAAACATCATCAAACTTCAGGGGTTAAATCCCATTGTACAATACAAAAACTTGTATCAGTTGACACTGGAAAGGATTCTTTGTGATTTATAATACTTGAAATATTTTAGAGAAATATAGAGGAATTTTTACGAATTTAAAAATGGTGGACACGACAAGATGGAGATCAAGTTTCTTGTGAAATTATTAACTTATAGTCCTACTGCCTTTAAGCGATTCAAAATGAAAACCTAGAAGCCATAAGCACAGTAAAAATAGTTTTTTAGGATCTATAAAGAGAAGTCATATGTTTGTACAAGGAATGGATGACATATTTCTCGTGCACTGCTGTTGGCTGGACGTCGTCAAAAATCTCAAGGTGATAAAAACTGCCGTGACCCGGCGATTCGACCTTAACATGGATTATTCAAAATAGCGTTAATTGTGTTTAATATCTCGTAGTTTACCGTCTTAAGAACTTCAGTTTCACTCAAGATTGCTTGGATTCTTCTATGAAAGTAATTTTGTGCTTTAAAAGTCGTGGAAAGCTCAATAGTTTTTAAGTTAAAAGTTGTACATAAGATATTCTATTATCATGAAATCAATTCGGGTCCTACGAGGGAAATATACCTGTTCTATAAGTCTATTTATGTAGTAAAAAAAAATTAAGATGAAACTCTTGGTTGTATTTATGTATTACGGGTATTTTTTATGTAAGATTAAGGTCACGTTTCTACATTTGTTCAACGAACACTTCGTTCGAGTCACTGACTCCTCAATTTCCTAATAAGATGTTAGTTTCAGTCTCTTTAATATCATTTTAAAATACTAATATTTTTTGCTAAATTTACTTGCATAAAGTTTCTGATTATAAGCTTTGAATTTTTTTGTACATATGAAAGAGAATTTTCAATCAAAAGTACTTAAAAAAAGCTATTTTATTTGACAATAATGTGATTATTTATTTTCACTTAAATGGAATTGAGTGTCTTCGTTTTTTTTTTAAGAAATAAACTCAATAACRGCTGAAAAATGCTAGGAAACAGAAGCCAATGTGAAGAATGAGAAATCTCTAGGAATCATATTTCCCAATTTATAAAACAATGACAAACCAATGTCTTTATTTTTTTTAAATTGAAATCAGTGCTATTTCAATCTTAAGTGATCTTCACTTGACATGGCATGACATAGAATTTAAAGCTTTAATCTAAAATCTAAATTTTAGTTAAAATAGAATCAAGCTTGGATGGTTCCAATGACTTGAAAATATTTTTAACCAAAATTGGGTTTTACTAAGTGTTTGTTTCATTACTAATTCATTTGCTATATTCTAAACTTGGCATAGGATATGTTAAATTTCGAGTACTAAATATATTTTTACATGTATGTTTCTGACACATACAAGAAAAAAATCAATATGATGGCAATTTAACATCATTAAATTTGTAAAGGACAGGGAATAATCGACACATTGTGTCCGAAGCCTTCCTTACAGCATGAATACAACACAATGAAATTTGTAAAAAAAAATATGAATGTTAAAAGCCGATGCTAACATGTTGTTGATTTTGACCCATATAATACAAGTGAGCTCATCAGAATTTTTTTGAATTTAGGTTAAAGAATATTACATATATTAATATAAACCCCTCTGTATCTTGGCTAAGTGGGCAATCCATCTGTAATCATGTGCCTGTGCACTTGGTCACTACAAAACTGTAATCAAGGCTGTCTGACTGTGTACTGCCACGGATGGCACAGCATGGCCATGTTACAGAACCTCACCTGGCTGTGACACCAAATGATTTGTGGACACATCAGGGTACATGATGAGTGGAAATCCACTGTTACACTTCATTTTGTACAGTAGATAGAAGGATAACCTTACAGAACCTCACCTGGCCGTGACACGAAGTGATTCGTGGACACATCAGGGTACATGATAAATGTAAATCCACTGTTGTACTTCATTTTGTACAGTAGATAGGATAGATTGGGGCACCCTGATGGTATGATCAAGGATGCTTTTCTCACCATTAAGATAGCCTGGTGAGTTTTCTGTATAAAGGTTATTCCTTGTCAATAACCTACCCTTAATCATAACATAAATCTAGTAGCCCAGTGTGGTAGGTTATCATTTGTCTTGCTGTGAAATGGAGCCTTGGAAGTCAGCCAACATACAAGTAAGGTTGCTGGTGGGGATTTCTCAGTCTGTGTTTTGCACTTTTTACATTTCTTGCTGTTTGCAGTTTCTAATTCAGCTTAATTTCTATCATATGGTTTAAGAGAACTTGTGTTTTCAGTTAAATCAATGATATTCTGTGAGAAATATAGGAAAGCCAGAGTAGAGCTGAACATTGTTGGTGATCTTGGTGTGTGGTTTCAATAATATCAATAAAATACACTGTCCACATAAAATGCCATCAAGACATCGATATTTTTAGAAAATGTAGACTGTAACTATTCTTTGCTGAATTTCTATCTATTTCTATTGCTATTCTTTATAGCAATGGTGAATGGTTTCATTTCCTTCTCTTCCCTGGAAAAATATTTCTTTTACCACAGGAAGACCGGTCAGGATGTAACCACAGGAATCCCATTTATGTTAATACGATCTAGGAGCACTTCTAAACGATCTATACGATGACAATTTTCAATTTACATTGTCATTTTCACGTCTATATATTTTTTTTTCTTAATTAATTACAATTTCACATATATATGATTATTTAGTGTGGGTCAAACCATACGAAACGGCTCAATATTTTTTTGTATTATAATTATATTGCTATTATATATTAATTTGCGTAGGGGAGGGACAAGGCCCCGCCCCTTATTTATATAGTTATTTATCAACTCTTTCTCGTGTCTGGTAAGAAATGTCGCGACGTGCAACTCCTATATTTTTAAATTTTATGTACAGTTGAAATTGGAGTCTCACATTTCATGAATAATGTTAGTTTTTCAAAATCAATTTGATTCCAGTCTTACATGATTGGTAAACAATCTTGACAAGGAGCTATGTTATTTCACCGTTTTCTTCATTGGCAAATACACAGTTTACACAGGAGAATGGGAAATTCACACCACAAGTGTTTGCATTTAAGTCAGTCCTGACAGAATCATCAATCACAATTTGTTCCAGCTGTCTAGTACCATGAAAAAGAAGCCAAAACACATTAATGCTAAAAARTAGTCAATAAAATGATGATCTTTTGAGAGGCAATTTATCTGATTTATTGCCCTTTAAGAATATTTCATCGTCTTGTTTTGTTTATTGCTTTTCAAGCCGTTTAAATGATAAAAGCTTAGCCTGGTTTTGAGGGTCTAGAGCAGGTGGTATCTGTGCCATTTCATTTGAAGGATGATATGTAGCGCGAAGCTCCAAATCCGACATTTTATTGCTGCAGCGATTGGACCATCTTTTTGGAAAGTCACAATGTAGTGTTTCKGTCATTTTTACAAGAATGTCACGAAATGCTTCCCTGTAGTTTGAACTATGAAAAGCATAGATGAAGGGATTGAGACTTGAGCTGCAATACACGAGAAAATAACAGAGTTTATAGCTCAACGCATAACGAGCGTCTAGTAGTAAAACTGACATCACACAGAAAGGAATGAAACAGACCAAGAAAACTAGTGTAACAGTTAACAATAGTTTGACAATCTTACGCTTCTCAGACCCTTCGCTATCTCTGCTGTGCGTCGATCCACGAGAACAAATAGTTTTGGTAAAATATATTCCCTTGATGATGTTAAAATAACAAAATAGTATTATAATGAACGAGACTGAAGTAATAAAAGCGAGTATTCCCCAGTAGATGATCGATGCTAAGGCTTGGTTCTCCCCTGGCCATACTATTTCACAAAACTTCACCTTTTGGTTAAATCTCTCCCCTACGAAAAGCGGTACGACATAGGCAATTGATAACAACCATATGCATACAATAGGGTATTTGACATTCTTCCTGGTCAAAGTTAACCGTACAGCCAAAGGGTAAAATAAGGCTTTATATCGCTCTACAGCCAGTACAGTTAGTGTTATACCCGATACTAAGAGCGTTATTCCAGCGACATGATGCATCGTTACAAATTTGCACAGAAAATCTCCCAGATTCCCCTGCGGATGTAAGGTGTAGCTCGTTACAAGTCCAGGAATACACCATAGCAACGTCAATAGGTCTGCAGCCGATAAGTTTGCCAAAAGGTAGTTGGTTGTTGTATGCATGGAACGCTTTCTCTTCACGACAAGAAGAACGAGTGTATTTCCTCCAAAACCAATAGTGATCACGAATACATAAGCAGAAATAAGCACGTAGTCGACCACACCGAGAGATGGAACTCGTTCATAATTACTTACTGTACTATTCTCCATGTTGTACGGAATGAGATTCAGATGGTTATCAAGCTGTCTTTAATAGTGTATTCATCCAATCAGAAGTTGAGATGTGCTGTGTTATTAAAGGGCCACCATAGTTGTATCCGATGGATAACGACCTCTCTCAGTACTTGTTAAGAATACACTGACAGGATCTGTATTTTCGTTCAAGTTCTAATCAAAGTTCCTTTCTTTCAAAAGGCTCTAATAAGACGATGTCGTTTCAAACGGCTCTTATTTGATGACCTCTCGTACAATATCCGGCAAATTTTAGTGGCGCTTATCTTTGAAGGTGTTTGGCAATAAAGATGAGCACTTTTTCAAACGATAAATGCTTAAACTACCTTTTGACACCAATGGACGCACTGTGGTGAGTCTTGATGGAAACTGAAATGACAAAGAAAACATAGAAGTCAACAAAGAATGTCAATTAGATCGCATGATTCGCTAATGCATCTCATGGTCGAAAAGAGTTTTCGTTGAAGTCTTTTGTATTCTTATGTGGAATAACAATTAAGTAATGACGTCTAATGCGTACAACCAATATCGAATATTCGAGTACCATGAATGACATTGAAGTTGTAAGCCATCACTTCAGCTGTGTTTACCGAATCATCTGGAGACGTCGCCAGTAATCCTCCACGATTATGTTCACGTATTTTCAAGTTATAGAAGCGACGCTGTTGTGCACTTGTCCAAAAAGAACCACCTGAAAGTGCTGTATTTTGAGTCAAATGAACCAACTGTGACCGACTAACTTATAAACGTCAAAAGTCTCAAAACAAAACGTACTTTGAATACTAGTTGACAGTCAATTAAGAATACAATTTAATATTCATGGAACCGCAGATAAGCCGCAAGTGAAAGACGGTTTGACTAAAACGGCTCATTAACTATCAAGGTTATACAGCTCAAGCTGGCAGCTAATGAATAGCATATATACAGACCAAAAAAGTAATTTTCTTGCAGTATCTACAACCTTCAAAGCGCGCGATTTTTTCCAGTGCTTATGCTGTTATAATTTAAGATTCAAACATCTTGGGGTAACAGAATTAGTATTATGAACTTTTTACATTCCATGCCTCGCTGACATGGTCGAAATGATATGCCATATTAAAACCTTCAAAATGCTTAAATCCTTTGATATACGTGATGTTATATATAGGTCCGAGTATAGATCCCTGAGGTACCTCTATTGCCCGGTGTTTTTAGACAAATCATCCGTACTTCTTCACTGTTCAGCAGGTTTAAAGTTTTTTTGAAAACGTTTTTTGTAATTATAACCCAAGAAACGATTTAAATGCATTTTAAGTGGTAAAAAGCAGTTGAGCTTTTATAGATAGTTATAGAAAGTAATATATTGAAAGTGTTTTCAATTTAGACAGGCGGATATCGATGTGATCCTTTTTACGTCACAATGGACTATGATAGCCATGTACAACTCCTTTCTGTATCACTTTCGCTCGTTACCACGTGGTCTAGCCAATAAGAGATAGAAAGGTTCCCTGGATCGAAGTCGGCCTCATTACAAAAAAATCATTTCTAATCTTCCTAAAAAATACTTTTACACAGAAATCTCATCAGCTTGATTCGTTTGACATGATGGAGACGCAAGACACTTAGAAATATAAGACCGTGTTTGTGAAAAACGTAATAGATACCGCTTGATGAGAGCACTTTGATGGAGATGGATATACCGGTCTCACTTCCATTTCCTACCAAGTAGAATTCTATTGTGTTATATCGTCTATATAACAGTGGGAAATATTTTATGAAGAGATACCTTTAAACAGACCTTCATTGTATACCCTAGGTAGCAGAGCCTAGCAAAATTCGGCATTACCATTTTAGTTCTTTTATCCTATAAAAACTACTTAAATATTAAGGTTCCATGGTGAAAAAAAGAACACATGTATGTTTTCCACTATAGATGAACCGGATGAGTTATTGACCGTTAAAGCAAATCCATTCGACGCCCCCAAGCTATAATTCACTGTCTGATAGTAGTTTTACAAGACGTGAAATGTTGTGTCAATTCTGGCGCCATTTAGCTCTACTTTATCATAACTTTTATGGAAAAAGCATCCACGTGAAAGACGGAACAATTGTAAAAAAAACTATCTGGGAATGGGAGTGATTCTGATGTTCAACCATTACAGGATAAAAGAGGACGTGATCTATGTTCTTGAATTATCTTTTTTCCAATATTTCAGCTGTCATATGGTGTTGCTTGGGCTTCTTTATTACAATATACCACGTCGTTCCTACGGTATATCTGATTTCATGATTAATATTTACTTTAATTTTAAATATAATTCATTGAAAATTTTACCATGTGCGAGCTGTCCATCTATAGAATAGTACTTCTACAATTCGTTGCTATAGTTTCACAGATAAACATTCTTAGGTAAACTAATAAGTACTTACAGAGATAAATTTGTACAATCACTGAGCCCAGCGTCGTTGAACAGCTAATCAACCGAAGAAACGAATTCAATAGTTTTACTCCAAAGGATTTAAGCAAGTATTATACCCAGACACCAACTTTTCGCTGTCTTTATAAATTGCTGTAGCTGTTACAGCAAACAAATGAACTGTTTACCACGAAATCTTACGTGATTATTGGGTTTTTCATCTCCATAATAATAATCGATGGAACTCGCGAAATGTTCTTAGCAAATATTTGCAGTCACCTTGGTTAAAGCGATGTGATACCCGCAGTGAAAAAGCCATTTATTCCTCAATTTGTTTTTCTTGTAATGAAATAGCCCTTTCACCTGAGCTCGGTCAAACCTTAACGAGGTTGCCAGTATAATTGTGATAAAATTAAGGCAATTAGAGTCATTTCTTATCATTAGTACAAACGTCTTTTAGCTTCCTTCTCGGCTCACAAATAAACAGCAACACAAAATATATCCAATGTGTCCGTTGGGCTGCGGACCAATGCCGATGTCATTAGATCGATGGAATAAGGGCGTTGGCAGTGAAGTAGAATTGTTGTAGTATATATTTCGTTTTGACTATAAACATTTCTATGTGTTTACAAGGGTAGGGCATCATATTATTCACTTCGCATGATGATATTTAATGATCTGGTGATCACAGCAAGAATCGTAAAGTGGTTTAACAATCGTCGTAATGGAGATGAATCGCGTGTGATCGGAATGCGAATCGCAATCGCAATCATAACCGTAATCGTATTATAGTAATTATAATCATTATATCGTAACCATTATTGTGCGGTCGTTATTCGCAATTTAATTTATTGAGGTCTTCTAGTGTCTATCAATCTTTCAGTAAATGCAACCTCAACCTTCACAATGCAACCTCAACTGGCATACAGACAATATAGCAGTACTGACTACGATGATAGGGACTTTATAACCTAGAATTATACATTTTCAATCAACTTTGTTGACTCCAAATTCAAAAATCGAACTTTATAAGTAAAATGGATGGGGTGCAATAACTTGTGTATTTAGATCGTCATACATCAATATAGGTAATAATACTGCACAAAATACGAATAATAGACACGTAGACATAAAGTCTAATTATATCAATCTTTCAGTAAAAGATCACAATGCAACCTCCATTGAACTAGAGATGATGGGAAACATTTCCAATCAACTTCGTTGACTCCAAATGCAAAATCGAACTTTATAAGTAAAATGCAACCTCAACTGGCATACAGACAATATAGCAGTACTGACTGCGATGATAGGGACTTTATAACCTAGAATTATACATTTTCAATAACTTCGTTGACTCCAAATTCAAAAATCGAACTTTATAAGTAAAATGGATGGGGTGCAATAATGTGATTAATACATCAATATAGGTAATAATACATCACGAAATACGAATAATAGACATGTAGACATAAAGTCTAATAAACAGGTATAATGGAAAATTGTGAAACAAAGTCTTAGATTAAAATTCATCTAGAAAAAAGAAATATCACACCATGCTTGTAACATGTGTAAAGCGACGATTTTTATGTTCCTAGTATATTAATCGAGTTTGAAATCCCTTACCTTAGAGCAATAACAAGAAACAAGGACTCGATGATGATATCTTAATGCGCAATGCTCATCTATGAAGGTTTTTATTGAGACAGGTGTCATGTCAGTAGAAACAAAAACGATTGACAGCGAACAGAAGATTTAGGAAATCCCAATTACCCGACGCTCAACTTGAAGAGCGGCAAGGTCAATTCCGGGATTTATATGATTTTAAAATTATTTTTAGCTTTTTAGGAGAAGCTTGAGTGGCTTAAGCCGCTAGAATAGACTCTGCATTTTTTTCAATAATTTTTTAAACTGAATTCCTCTCTCACTTTGATTGCCGGATATTTTTATCCCATTTTTGCATTCACTACTTAAGCTTGTGACTTGTTAATGCTCGATGACCTGCATTTAGCAAGGACCTCTGTATCATTGAGCCATAGCAATATAGAAGGAATTAAAGTTAATTTTTGTAAATGGTAATATCTATTTATTTATTTTCCATGTATTCATTTTATCACATTTAGTGATTTCTTCTATTTGTCTGATTTTTTCACTTATTTTATTGAATAATTCTCTTTTTTGCCGATGTTTATTAGCTGATTTATTTATAGCTCTAGTATATAGTGTTATCCGCTCTCAGTAGATAAACAATGATCCACAAAAACAGGAAATCAAACTGTGAATTTTGATTAAAACTACAGATAGACCCCGTGTTCCGTTGTATACAATGTCGTTATAAGAAATTATTTGGCTCTATTTCCATCCAGTGCTGATGATAAATCATTAGTATCACTTCAAATTACTGACTTAAAAACACAACGGAATTGTCTTCTTTTTCTGATTAATTCGCATGTATGTCGATCCCAATCGTTATTTGTGTGAGATCAAAGTATAAGCTTGATAAATGACAGATAAATTAATGTCGTTAATTTAATACAGCACTGGAACATGGTCCATGAGAAAAATCTTTAGCAAAAAACAATATTAGCAGCCACTGGGATTCGAACCCTCGACATTCATATCAAATTGATGATAAAAACAAACATCTAGACGATAAAGCGCTCTGAATCGTCGCTTTGATTTACATTAAGGCGCGAGATTTCGGCCCAAACCATTTTATCTAAGCGGTGACAGACAGTTTTGTTGTCAAAGAGAGAGGAAACACTCTGATCGCCATGATTTAACGCACCCTACCTTTCGATCGTCGTGTCAGTGAACACTGAAGACTATTCCAGTGGAATAGGCTGACAATTGTTGTGTAAAATTACATTGTCTTCGTAGCGCGCTTCTCATTGCATTGACTATTAAACATTATACCTTTTAGTGTTTACCGAGCGTTTTATATAAACCAACATGACCTTGGTTCCAGTCCTACTACTTGTTCTTTAACGGCATATTAGCTGCTTATTTGTGTACGTACTGCTTTTTTAATCATTTTCGCCAATCGCACGTGCAATCCGTTAAAAAGCTGTAGGTTGGCAACCGCTAAGCGATATATATATATGAGGGGTTGCAACTTAAAAAGGGTCTTAAAGACTAAGACCCCTTTGATGACGCAACAGTTTTATATGCAGYCCAAAGCAAAAGATTTATGAATAAGACCCCTTTTCAGCTGAAACCTCTCATATATATATACTATATAACGTAGAGATGTTTCTTAAACATCAAAGTAGTGACGTCTATGTCAATTAATGCCCCTTTCAGGTTCTTATATTTTTTCCGAGTTTTAAAGGAGCATTCGTTGTTTAACTGTCACGATTTGTTAATTTTTAAAAGGATTTTAGTAAACCTTTTTTCAAGGATTATAGTTATTTTCAAACCCCCTCTTGTGGCGTCAGAGTTATTCACCTTGATTCATACTAGTATTTTAGGTGATGAATCTTTTAAGTGCAAACGTTTTTCAAGACGATAGATTATTAAGGATGAATATGTGAAAATACGCTCTTCAAGCTTCTTCGGTTATAAAAATAACTCACAAAGTTAAAATTAGTTCATGATAGCTGGCGTTTCTCTAGTTGATAATGCACATTCAAAATATTCAAGGTTTATTCGTAGACAAAACACTATCACTAGCAACTTCCTTGACTGGTTTCGAAACCGCAGGGTCTTTTCAGTATGTCCATTTACAGCTTATTGTTCGTGTTGTCAAAATAAACCTTTAAACAAGTGAAACGTGGTAAAAGTGCTACTTTTTACCAAATAAACAGATTTTTCGTTCTTTTTCAAGGCATTTCAGTGTCCAATTAAAGGAATTGATGATACCCTGGATAAATTATATGACTTGAAAGAACGTGAATTTAAGACAAGATTATCCAAACTTACTTCACACTGTATTAATTCACATGAAATCAAATCAGGAAACGCAGACCAAAAAGCGTTAAAGTAAATGAATAAGAGCTGTGAGATCGAGTTGTTTTCTAGATAACTGATATTTCAGAAAATAGATTAAAGGCATAGCTTTTAAGGAAGATCAAGTAAGTGATGGTGAAATATTCACTTGATTGAGTGATTACTGCTAATGGCAGTAAAGTAACAAAAAAGGTAGTTTTTAAAGGCAAATTGTATCTTAGTTTTTTCTAGTAGTAGAAATTAGACTAAAATGGCTATAGAAGTATGTTCTAATTGAAGTATTCGAAGGATAAAATATTCAAACTCACCCCGTGTTATTGGTGAAATGAAGCTCTCTTAGCTAGAGCTCTCTGGAGGTCGATTAGTCTGTCAGGCACTTCCTCTTTCAAATGTGGGTCTTATATATAAGTGTGCTTGCCATTTGTGAATATGATTTACGCATGCGCACTATCTATTTTGATGCTGGAAATGATTCACTCAGAGCACGCAATGATTTTAGTGCCTTTCGTCGGTGCAAATGTTAAAGTGCAGATATTGTACATATTGGCCCGACAAGGAATAGCTTTGTTAAATGGAATATTTCATGATCTAAACTGCAAGACGTCGCTTGCCAAACCGACTCTGGTCCCGGATGAAGACTGGAATTACTTATGTATGTCTTTGATATAAAATGCAGTATTGATTCACAGCGTTGATTGTCGCACAAGAGTACATTGTAACTGGACTTTTGATGTCTCCTTGGAACTAAGACATTCGTAACCGGGTGATTTGTCTAGATATTATGCAGTACGATCGGCAGCTGCCAGTTAAACATTAGAGATGGCAACTGTATTTGTGCGCACCCACAGGGAAAAGAAAATGAGTTTTTGTTAAAAGTTAAAAAAACCTTTTCTGTTCTTAACAAGGCTTTTCTTATTGGAAAATCAATTAGATTAAACCCTCTATCGCTAATGTGTTCCTTTGGCAGTAAAAAAACTAATTACGAAAATAATTAAAAAACTGTTGACAAATCCAAAATTCGCGATTGAAATATATTGTTAATTGCTTCTCGTCGTTTTTTTTTTAATTTTCACTGGTGCTATACCTTTATTTACCATTGATTTTATTACTTACGCACCTCAATAAGGTGCAAATTGTTTTTTATAGCCTCGTTAGTGGTTAACAGAATAGCGGGTATAATTTCGCTAGTAAATCTTGAGATATTCGTCTTAATCATAAAATAGATTATGGTATATTATACCTGATTTCCTTCGCCATGTATATCGAGCTTGTATGTGTTGTTCTTAAAAAATGCTTCGAAATCCCGGTGAATATGGCAGGATTAAAGTTTGATATCAACAAAACTAAAGATACAAACTGAAGAGGAAGAATGACTGCAATAAGTTTGGGTAGACTAATTTTAAGCACGCTAATGCATTGATCTGATTGATTCATTCTTCTCTACGCTGATCTAATTCGCATTGACAAATTCATACATTTTTCATTCATGTTTCTCTCTCCAAGAATCTACATATTTATCCCTCCACTGATCCCATCCATCCATCTATCTATTCGTTCATTTGTTCATCTATCCAGTCATTCATTTCCACTCCTTAGCACATCTATCATTTTTCATCTTTCTTTTTTCTTTTCTTATAAAAAGCWATTTGTTCCCGAAACCAATTTTACATTAGTTGATGTATGGCATCCTGGACTTAGTCAATATCACTAAAACCGGCTTAGAAAATACTGAAGGATTCGATGTTGGGGGCTAAAACAATGTTTTTCGACCAGCTTTTTTTAGACTTGAAAAGTCTAGTGATTATTTGACTATCAGTTTATTGGGTCCAAATATCGAGTAATTTTGATGTGGAAGTGAAGGGAGGCCATAGAGGAAGTTGCTTAATGTGGGGCATTTGTAGTAAAACTGACGCAAACTTGTCATATGCGGGCATAAATATTGAACTAAGATAGATTACAAATGGATCCTGATTTAAAGTGAAAAGACATTTGACAAGTGTTTTCCTACTTGTGAATGAGTGGATCAGTAGAAGTACTGTACTTCTTGGTTTTGCGCGCAATCACGTTAGACGTTGGAGGTCTACAGTAATACTAAATAGACGAAACATGTTTCATTCAAAGTCTTGGTGTAGTGTGTCGAAAGAGGTGATTTTAAAAACGAAAACAGTTTAACATATAGCATGAAAAATACTAAAGTCATACCAGTGTRTTTTAGGGACGGTAAAAAATTCTAAAACATTTACAAATTTTCCTACAACCTCGGTAGAATTGAGCAAATTTTTCAAAAATTCTACAGAAAAAGTCGATTGAGAATATTGGTACTTAAGAAATTGGATGTTTTAGTTGTTAGCAAAAAATGAGTTTATAGTCCATCAGAAGTGTTTGTSAACGACGTTCACTGGTTGTTTAGTGGAGCAAAGCTCACTGTAACCAGCAAATAACTACCAAGACTAGAATCATTCGTGTGAATCTGATTGTCACGACTTTCTGCTCTCCATTAAATTACATCTTGTAGCGCCGTGCGCGCATTGCGTTTTCCATCGTTTACGAATCACTTACTGCATCGATTTTGCTTTAAACAAGCATCAATGCCGTTGATTTGGTTTCGCAAAATGATTAAAAACACCCGATAAAAATCCACTGTCATCATTCAAATTATGGTTGCGTTACGTCTTATATCGTTCGCCTCTCTTATAGAAATGATTAAAACACTAAAAAAGCGACCTAATAAATTTGAAATTTTGATCTAAGATTTTGAAAGTGGACGTAGATTTTACATTTTGAATTTTAAAGYGCTGTAGATGATGAGAAAAACGAGATATTTGGGGCACTGACAAGTAGTTGTAAATCTAGTCAATTGTCTAGTGATTAGCAATGATTCTAACCTGAATCTTGCGTCGATCCTGAAGAAACAACTAATATTTTAAGTTAATTCCTGGACTTGCTGGAAAGATCGACTGGTGTTCTCGTCAAGTAACTTAACTAGTTAAAGGCACCAAGATTAATCGGAAGGATTCAGTGTTTTTAAGTTGGCTTGCTGCAAATTGTCTGATTATCACCTGTCATCGCTGGTTTTGTGAGATTGTTAGAGAAACATTAGCAGTTCAAATACAATTGATCAGATTTAACACCAAAACAGGATCTCTAATTAAACTGGTTGRGTGCAAAACTGATTTAATAGTGTTATCGCAGTAATCAGAAGTAAATCATTTCGCAATGATTGTGCTTTGATGGAAATCCTAAGCTAACCTTCAACGTTCTGTTCTCTCTTACGTTTGGCCCTTTTATCGTGACGTATTTATCATATAAAGAGTCAACCTTCTTCAACTGAAAACTCAATCAACTGTTATTCAAATAAATCAAACCCTCGAACGTTTGCTGTGAAGTATCATTAATTAGTTGCAAAAAATTATTTTCGTTTCTCACGCTAATAATGCGGTATTTTGTCAAATCATACCTTGTAACTTTCCACAAACGTACTTTGTATTCAGTCTGTGTGAATATCAGCGATACGTCTGTACTAGTTATGTCTCGGTATCGAGTAAGAAACGCTGTAGCAAGCGGTTTAGATGTTTTACATACCAGATTTAGTGATAATCAGTGATATTGGTTGCAGAGTTCAGGTTTAATGAAAGCGATATCAACATCATGGACTGATTGTCAAACAAACACTTGCTCGTTTTGATTTGGGCTTGCATTTATTTTCTATTTGTTCCCTTTTTAGGAAACGATTTTTAGATTATTATTCGTTATCGTTCTCAAGTTGATTCATTATGGTAATAATAGTTTATGCTGACACGTCGCATGTTTTCGCGACTCTGACAAATGTATGAGGACTTTTGATTTCCTCTTTCAGTATTTGGCAAGATGTGGGACGGGAAGAAGAAAAATTGTGTGCGCATGCGTTATTTAAGATGAGAAATTTCACATCATAAAATGAAGAAGTCGAGCACAAGTWACAACAGCCAATAAATCTCTTGACTCGGATTTGTACTAAAGAATGTGCCGGTCATACATCACAGGACGTTCAATCCCTTAGGCTTTGATAAACCACTTGAGACAATCATAGAATGTAGACATGTTTAATGTATTAACAAGAGTGCACATGATCTGATTGTAACTGACTAGAAGTCTATATGGTTTCGTGGCTACAAATCATAGTATAAATTCCAGTCTTTGTTGAATGGCGATGCGGATATTCCCCTTTACCTATGAAATAGTAATAGGCTGTAATATTTTAAACGCGCTTTTGTGCCACAGTTAGTAAATTGTCTAAAGTATATACACTATAACAGGAATATATCGACCTTGTAGTACACTCGAGTAAGGGATGAACAGTAAACGTCTTTGTATTATTCTACAACCTGTATAACTATTTTATTGGATATTAATTATTTTATGTATATTATTATTGTTATACTTAGTGTCACACTATGACATGTGTATAGTCAGTGTTACCCACTGCGCATGCTCAGATGTTTTTTTCGTTATTTTATCCCACATGGTTTAGTTCAGTTCAGATGACATTTTAATGTCAGTCTTAAAAGACTGAGAGAAGATTCCTTCATAGCAATATCATGTGATACTTGCAATGGAGTGCTTTTAGCTTGATCTTGGACTTCAGATGGACCTACTTGGACTGCGSTCTGTGTACTTGAGATGTCCATAGATCGTCGGCAGTGTGTGRTGCCTAGCATTATATCCAAGTATCCCTTTCTAAACTTCTTACTCGTTAAACCATAGAGGAATGGGTTGATGGATGACGTCATGAACACCAAACCGACCGTGAAGTCATGGAACGAGGACTCGACCGAGGATTTCTGGTAGGCAAATAGCAGTAAATTGATCTGATTRGGTAGCCAGCACAGCAGKATGGTAAACGAAGCGATAAATGCAATTTTTGTGATACGTTTTCTTGGTTCTTTAGTGGACTGTTGTTGTGTCAAGACCTGAGACGTCGTCTTCATCTTGTAGACGACTTGTGCATACATGATAGCTACGGCCAGGAATGGGAACAGAGCTTTTCCAATAAAGTTTATCGTGACTGTGATCCTCAAGTGCGGTGTGGCTATGAAACTACATCTTTGCCCTGAAGGCCGTTCAGGATAAACTTCGACGTTTGGATGACTTGGAAGCACAAACAGAACTCCAAGAATGTAGGATAATACGATGCCTTTCACCACCCTACTGCGGTTTATTAGCGTCTTGTACTGACTGTACTTCATGACTGCAATCCAACGGTCAGCGGTCAGCAGTAGTATCAAGTAAACTGAAGCCACTCCGAAAATGAACAAAAKCAGTCTGCCCCATAATACCTTGCAGTAGATCARCAACGCAACTCGATTGGTTGGCTCTGGCATACCGCTGATAAAGAGGAATGCGGGCGTCACGAGTAAGAATACAGCTGTCAGTATGTCGGTGATTGACAGGGCAAACAGGACCATGTAGTAGGTCTTTTTCAGGAGAATCTTACGGTTTTGTAAGAAAAAAACKGACACCAGTAGATTACCTAATAAGGCAATGATGGCRATAATGAAATATGACACTTTCTTGACTGTCATGAGGGTCGAGTCACCAGGCGGGATACCTGTGGTATTGGTAGGTAACTCRGTTGACATCGTGRKWTCTGCAATGATAAGGAAAATATTATTAAAAATTAAAACTGGAGCTATCATTACTTACATCCAACATCATCACTATTACCAGCCTCAATACTCGTCATTAACTTCACTATTAACACTCTCACTAGACATCAACTTGATAGACAACACACCTTTTCCTTTACTACTTCAGCCAGTGCAAAAAGTTGAAGGATAGTCCAGTGAAAACAAGGCTGCGACTTTCCAGTTGACTTTCCACAATCACTCAAAACTACAACACCAACTGATATTATGATGGCATTCTGGGAATGATACAAAATAATCTKGTCAAATTAGTTCACTATCGCTAAATCAGTAGGAACAGGTAATTTTTATCTTCAAAAGACTTCATGGATATGATTTGAAAAATGATACTAAAGAATAAATGGAACTGAGAAAGAAAGTTAACCAACCYATGTCTAGTGAAGACGTTATTTGTGCCAATAGTACATTATATGCTGGCCTTCCCGCTTTATACTTGTTTATTAAATGATTAATTATAATCATTGTCAATTATACATCCATAAATGTCATCAAAGCCATTAAAGAAGCCTCCGAGATACGTAACAGCCTGAAGCATTAAGGATAGCCAGTGCTTAATGGGCCGAGAGTTAGGTGTACGCCTTTCAAGGCCCTTGGGATCTATGTTATCATTCAAGACACCTTCAGTTGTTAAAACTCATCTTTTGATGTATGTTTTTTGTAGATGAGGCTATTAAACAGTGTTGTTATTGGATTTTACATTAACAACAACATGTTTAGCTCACTGTTAACGAGGGTGTGTATAAAAGTGGGAGGCTTTCAACGAGTAACAATGATCTAGTTATGCACACTATGGGCAAATGATTGCATGATTAGACRAATAAAATGGCCTTCGAGGTTTATAAGCTTAGCGTAAATGACTTCATTAATTGCATCAAATGAGCGATTTTCACTCACAGGTCACGTGACTCATTTCATAGTTGGTTAATGTCAGATCTTGTTTATGGCGAATCAAAATCTTAAAACAATTTCTTAGAATCATTAATAGGATATGAGTGACTATCTTTAAGCCCTCATCAACCAACGCATTTGTATAAAATCCCTTACTCTCATTATTATTGCTTGTAAGATAACATAAATTAAGGTCTGACCCATTTTCACTAAACAAGAATGCAAAGTTGTATGTCGCTATTCAGTAATCTATTGTAATCCTAGTGTATTAATATTAACTATGCTACAATCTATAAATGCAATTATTAAGAGCCAGATTTACGGTAAAAAAGTCTKTAAAATCAGACATAATCCTCTTAAAAAGAGTTATTGTCAACTATTGCTGATATTTTCCGCACTGGAGAGACCATTTCCYGGCGTTTCATTTAGAGCAACTTGTCTTCTTTAAGTCTAATTTGACATTATGAAAACAAATGACAGGAAATCCTCGAAATATTGAACTGTGATTGAAAAAAAAATCACTCCATAAAACGTTTTCAAAAAGCCTAATTCATTTGAATGATTACAAGCCCTTTTTATTTAGCAAAATATTACAAATTCGTTTATTCGCTCACTAGATTTGAAGAAGCAATGAYTGGTAAGCGCTATTAAACGAAGTGAAAAGAATGGGCGGTTTTTAAAAGGTCTATTACAAATCCGGTGGTGGTTTTCCCGCCGTTTGAGACGCGCTCGCGCGATAATTGTATTCATTATTCTGGTCTAGAATTGATTAATTTGACTTGATACAGATTCCTGGGTGGCTCACTTCAAACTTGGATGCCTTTGTGTCAATACGATAATCCTACTTCTAATAGCCGAGTACTTCTGTCGAGATTACAGCGGTCTAATTTTATGACTTTTAGGGAACTTTAACGCGTTTTTCTTYCTTGGCGTACAATATTTTACCCATGTTATCATTGTCTCGGCTTTCTTAGGAAAGGTCACGCATTGAGGGAAGACATCAACAAAGCAAGGATTATGAAGACTTTGATGATATTCAAAGTGTTTCTCTTTTGTATTGTATTGAAGTGTTCTTTCACTATAGTCCCCATCACTGGTTCGCGCCTTGAAGATAACATATGCAACATATGCTCGTGCAGCACGAATGGTGGATTTCAAGTTGTTAATTGTTCGTCAAGTTACTCTGTGCCAGCCATGATTCCTGAAGGAACGACTTATCTGTGAGTAAACGTACTCGTTCGTCTTGTCAATAAGCTAGACATCGTATATTCACTGTTCTAGTACTTGTTRAATACCAGTATTTTACTTGTATAGTTGATTTTTAGTAGCTCAAGGCAGGGAACAGTAGGTTTTTAAGAGAATAAGTTTATCAGTTGTGCGGATTCAAGTTGATTTCTCGAGGTATTTATACGATTTTATATATAAAAGCCTCATTTTAGAGTCAATGATATAACGCGAAGGAGAAAGTGATGATGAAAAAGATTTCACGGTCATTTGCATTRKTTTAATTARTGTTCATAAGTTTACAACTGGAGGCCSARTGTTTTCTTTTAACGGGCGGCGAGAAATACCTCTAATATTACAATAACCTTTAAGGGCAAGTATTGTATATAGTTGCCCAGTAAACTTTACCACACTGACGATTTGAATCTGGCAAGATAAAAGGGAAACCAGAGGTAGAAAATGCAGCTACTTTCATATGAAGAGCTCTTAGAGTAGAAGTGACATTTTATAATTCTCACTACCGTATTCATGACAATCACGACAAATAGTTAATGAGATTAGCTTTTGCTTTAGTTCTGTTTTTTGTTGCCAATTTAAAAATTTACTCAAAATAGAATTCTTTTCACTCTGAACTCAAGGTTGTCATGGAAACTTTTTCTGGTAAAAATTGAATTTAGTAACATTTTGTCAAGTTATGACATAAAAACTCAAAGATTAGCGATGATATCGTATTCTGTTTTTTTTTTCCTATAAATATTTCAATATGAAACTTTACTTAGACAACAACCACAATGTTGTAGTAATGGGTTTGATTTGAGTAATTTATCATAGTTTGGTGTTCAATGTATAGTTGGTGTTSATTGTGGTTTCGATTATTTTGTTTTGGTTTGTTGAATAAACAAGCAAAATGAATGAAAAAGCTTACATAAAACTTGACATGAAATAAATGAATGGATGGAAGTGGCTGGAAGACAAAACGAGTGAACGAATGAATAAATATATTGAGGGTAGTCCACATTGCCATTACCCCGAACTGAATTGGTCAAAGTTTTTGTAATGTAGCCTGATTCAATTCAAATTGACGGACGTTTTCGATAAAAAGTGGTCAAGGGTTGTGTATGTCTCATTTCCTGACTCTACAAAGTAGACCGATTTTTAAAAAAAACAACATTATTCCAATCCCAACAAGGAAGTCGTTATCTGGTTCGCAATTTTTTTTCTCGACTTTGTGACTTAAAGTACTTGAGTTTGGTATTAGGTTCGAAGTAAAATTAATTTGTTTGCTTTGATTGGTTATTGCACAGGACCAACCAGAAGAAAAAGTACGTAAAATCGGTGATATCCCATGTTTTGTTGACATTCCCTTCTATGTTTACGCGTCTASATGGCCGTGTGTTCGACGAGTAGATCCGGTTTGAACTACTCTTTTCAGGGAGTTCTTTTGTGGCACTTTTTACGGCGGAAAAAACTTCTCTTTCACGCACTAATATTGTCATAACATCGACACAAATGAAAAGGGCTTTTGATTATCACTGACTAGTATATCAAGTACATAGATCTTTCTGGAGAAGTAGMAATGTAATCAAAAATAGTCAGGCATTAATGTGAAGTAAATCAATGGTCACGTTTTTCCTTGAGCTATGTTGTGCAATAGTTACTAAATGTTAAAATATTATGAACAAAAAATAGTATTTAAAGACTAGTGTTGGAGAAGGAAACTTAACGCAGACAAAAAGTGGCAGAAATAAAGAAACTAAAGAGAAAGCTAAACAACAGCAGCAGCGCTGTCAATGTCGTGATTCAGACATGTCTTTTTAATACGTTTACCATTTTCAATCGAGGTACTTGCTCGATATGTCATATGAAAAAAAGAGAAGAAATTGCGGGAAAACGAAACTAAAAACTCCGATTAAAAAAGGTTTTTTCCTTGGGCTGCCAGTGCAGTAATAAGCTCTACTCTGAACCAAGAATACGGATTGCATATAGATAGCTTATGCATTTCGGAAATCATAGATTATCTTTGATTACTCTGTATGCAGGAAACAGTGAGATCGTTAATGGCCGTGACGCTATTAATGAAATTGTGATTTCTTTCCATGAACTTCCGTAGCAATACATATATTGAAGTCAAACAGAGACGTCTGGATTTCAGTCCGGTAATCACAACTAGTCAATAATGACCCCCAGACTTGACGGTTTAGGTTCTGACATTCCCGGTTATTTCAGGAAGTGCACTTGTAGCGCAAAGGCGCCCAAGACAACATTTGAGAAAGTSCATTTTATAATCCTTTCAGAACTTACAGCAGTAATATGTGCGCACTTTAATAAACTAAAAGACCATAGCAGGGGATTATGCAGCGAGTCTACACGACGGCTCGTTTGTCGTGATTTCGCATGGCGAGACCCAGGACGGCGCTCTGCGCTCTTTTATCACAAATAATCATGTTATGTTTTGACACTGGAATCATTTTTTATTAGTCATAAGGCCTTCTAGCATTATGCCTTAGAAATGACACCTATTTCCTCTCTCTCTCTCATAGTATGATAAAAAGATATATCATGAATTACTTGTGAGACTGAAAGGCATTATGGGTGCTCGTAAAATCGCAAATAACAAATAAAGACGGTTTGATTTAAATATATCGCTCTCACAACMTGCAGGTTTATACGATTTAAAAAGTATAATTATGTTTAAAACCACATGCAGTCAGTCCCCCCAACCATCTTACAGTTTACTTTTTTTCTCAACAGAGATCTGTCCAACAACAACATTTCTACTTTATCTGATGCTGATCTTGACAGATTTAAAGACGTCAAAGTCTTGTAAGTAACGCTGTGCGATATAGGAATTCATTTACAAAATTAAAAAAAGATCTTCCCGTTTGACAAATTGGTAAATCCCTTTGATGATTTAAAGATATATAGTTGCATACGTAATTTTTATAAATTATAAATTATGAAAAAAGAACTTCACCTGTTTGCCGTTATWACCAGATATACATCAGTGTGTGTAGCGTCTTTATGCAGCGTGTTCGGTATATATAATCTACTGATGAGCCCTTTGAAGGACTACCCTATATACTAAGTTTTGTCGAGTGAGGGTTATGTAACTGTTACAATACTGTTTTTGAAATACCCTTGAAGGTGCTAAAAACGTAAAGTGGTCCTTGATGAAATCCAAGAAGTTGTCACTTATAAGCATCTGTACCAAGTGATCTTTCAATAGATTTTATGGGATAGTTGAAATTGGGATTGTTCGTTTTCACGTATTTTTCTAGAACATCTGTTGTACGTATCAAAGTCCTCCTCAAACGCGATGGCGACATTTATTAGAACAAGTGACCGCTATTCAAAGGTTTACGAAAAAAAAGATTATATTCACATGAGAGGTTACCCTTATGTAACAGCTTTGGTTTCATTACCCTGAGGGACACAAGATCCTAAAAAGCATAATAAACATACGAACGCGATTGCTTGATGTGCGMTGCACRCWGAAGAATCACATCAAAAYCAAAGAGCCAGAACTAATCATCTKTAGGTCTGCAATTGCGCATGCTCGTATACTTTCTACTCCAKGTCCCACATGGATCTATATGTGTGGTGGACATAAAAGAGTGTTGTATGGTAGTTGATCCGGCWAGCACTTGYGTCTCATATCGCGGCAATGTATTGATGAACATTAYTAATGGTGTATATTGATTGCTTTGGACAACCTGCTTGCACCCTATCATGTACTATGAATGCACTCTACAAAAGAAWTATTTCAMCACTCGACGATATCTTTCTTCGTCTGTGAGACCGCAATTKGGCATGCGATCATTTCGTTGCGTATCTTCTTCCRTGCATTGTTATGGCTTAGKTTTTATATACGTGAACTGTTATCTTTATTTTATTTCCTCATAAAATTGCATTTCGGAAACACTCGWGCCCATACGTACGTGCTCCTTTAGCTGAGGGCARGAAGACTTTTCGAGTACTAGATGGAAATTGTGTTTCTATGGAGTAAGAAATGAAACAAGGCGATACTTATTGGTATAAAGGACGKTTTAATGAATTTAAGCTCTTCGTACAGTACTGAATGCAAATATTAAAATGTTATTGATATAAAGGACGTTTTAATAAACTGAAGGTCTTCGTACAGAACTGAAAGCAAATAGTTTAATGAAAGAAAGTRGAAGAACCATGTTTAAACGTCGTTTTACTCGCATTGTTTTTACTGTCCCTCTTTTAGCATCCTTTGGGGTCAAAAATGTTGTGTTGGAAAAAGTTCTAGGATAATCWATYAACASTTRACTAWCAGCAAAGTAATTCATTGCAATTTGCGAGAAAACGAAACGAAAAACTGAAAAAGAAAGAATAGTACACCCTTTTTACTGACTGTTGTCATTTTATTCAGGRATCTACGTCGAAACCCTTTGGTGTGCGATTGTCGTCTTGCTCTGTCAATCAAACGACTGACGTCATCAAGTGACGTCAGGGTGATCGGATATTGTTATTTTCCAGAATCATCTGTTGCTATGGAAATAGATAAAGCTGACCCACGGACCATATGCCGTAAGTACAGTGAACTCGTATATCCAAGAAAGGAAAGAATTGAAAGAAAGTCCAAAGTGTAAATTTGAATTCAAGAGAAGAGAAGGAAAACTAATAAAAAATCTACAATAAAAAAAGACAGAACAACAAAACGACATAAAAAAAATAGAATGGAATGGAAAGGAATGGAAAGGAAAGTGAGAGCAAAATAAAAGAGAAAGCTMAATAAAAGAATGAGAAGCCGAAATGAAAGGAGATGAGAAATGAATAGTGAGATTACATAACACTGAGTATCGTGCATGTGGAGCATCTGTTCTAATTTTGGTGCATGGAATAAACTCATACTAGTTAGCACGATATCAAAAATGACGAAGTAGAAGACTTTTAATTATAATTGTGATATATTGATATGTAAACCCTACCGAAAAAGATTATTTGTTTTAACTTTAGTTTAACTTTCTGACAGCCAACAGCACTAAACCAGCAATAAAAAGGCACCGACGATCAGTGGGTAATCCATTCATTGATATTTCTTTGCTTATTATTAGTGAATTAATTCAATTCGATATAACCCCTAAGGATGGTTAAAGAATTTCTTAATGAATGCAACGGTTTATTCCTGTAATCCCAACTTAATTATGACTTGAATTAAAGTCGAAATATTGTTATAAAACAGCTGTTATTGATTCTGTAATAGAACTCACCTTAATCACAGCATCCAGACTCCTGTGTACTTTCCAAAATATCTTGGAGTAAGATTGAACTCTAAAYCACCTGGTTAGACGCGCAGGCAACATAAGTGTGTTCATCTTAGAGCTTAATAATGACTTGTCAAATAGTTATTTATGGTATATTGTCAAACTTCACGTTGTTTTTATTCATCAGTACTTCTTAAGAAAGTTCGTGAATAGGTCTTTGTTTATTGTTTACTGTATTGAATGATGGGGTGATGTGGGATAGTCAAGAGTCTAGCGTTAAACACCCACAGAAACGAAAATAGACGAGCCGCAAACAATGACAACTTTTGATTGTTTTTTTACTGAATTATTTTTCAAGTCTCTCAATTGCTTTAAGCACAATGTKTTCTTATTAAAAGTTAACAATGCTAGTTTTTCCTGTCGGTCACTACTAAATATCATACCAAAATGTATAGGCGTACATCAAAAGGGTAGRCAGACCTTATGTAMGTTATGTAACCTTCTGTGGTTGCACCTGTTTAGACAAGACTTGAAGCACACAAGATCATTTATGTACAATGTTTGTTGTCCTTTTAGCTGTTGTCAACTGTACTATTGGTTCACCGACCTGTGCATTCATCCTTTGTCATAACAACAAGTACTGGTTGCCAATAACGACAGACTGGGGATGTTGTTATGGTGATATTCATGATTTGACTTCGTCGTACTGTATTGGAAATGGTGTTGGTATTACAAAGTGTTCYAATAACGACTTTCGTTGTAACAATCAGCATTGTGTACCGCAAGAGTGGACATGTAGCGGTTCTAATGATTGTCAAGATGGCAGTGATGAGGTGAATTGTGGGAAATGCAGGAAYCCTGCTACATTTCARTGCAAAAACAGARAACGATGTGTTGATAAACACCGGGTATGCGATACTTACAACGACTGTGGTGATGGCTCAGACGAAACCTATTGTAGAAARTCGTATCTGATTGGCTGGTGTGGGGTGGAATTTTTTCGATGCGCCAATGAGAAGTGTGTTTTTAAAGGCAAAGTATGTGATGGTAACGATGACTGTGRCGATAACTCGGACGAACATGGATGTATAATACGTAAGTCATTTTTAKTGTAAATCTCGTCCTGCTTCWMCTTAATTATGCATAKTWTTWCCTAAATTCGMATTCGTCCCAAGTTATTGATGCAAAGGCAAAAAAATAAGAGATATTGTTGTATTCCTCGCACTTACCCTTGCGGAAATGGATGGTAGGGTTGCACGTTTATGTGAGTGGAATACATAAAGCTAACGTCCATGCCTCGGTAAGGAATCCATGCTATTTTGTCCACTTCAGATAATAGTGCCACCAGGTGTGAAAGCGGTTGGTCTTTTTACAAGAACAAGTGCTACAAACGCTTCAAGTCATCTTTAACATGGAATGATGCTCTGCAAAGCTGCATCTCAAACAACGCTTCCCTTATAAAGATGACATCATCAAATGAAAAAGTGTTTCTTCGCAGCCTCGTTCCTGGAAAAACAGCAACTACCTACTGGATTGGATTAAGAAACTACAGCAATRAATTCAGATGGCCTGATGGTACTTTATTGAACGGTTATATAGCGTTTGACCAGACAAATTCAACGTCTTTTACTGGACAGTGTATTGTACTGGAAAATGTTGGTATGAAGTGGCGTTTACATGACTGCTCGGCTAAAAATCCATTTCTGTGTTCTAAAGGTRTGTATGCCGATATTATACTCCATGCATGTGGGAGTCAATGTCATCTACAGCGCATGATCAATAGCCATTTTTTTCTTTAGATGCTACTTGTAGGCTTCCTTGTCTGAACGGAGGCTCGTGTAGTTTGTCGGGATGTCTTTGCACATCGGGCTGGGCTGGGGAATACTGCAGTTACAGTAAGTATTCTTTGAACTATAAATMGGTATCAATCGGTCCACACYSG